TCTTCTAGCTTAAGTAAAAGATCTTCTTTTTAGCAATCTCTTTTCTTGTAATTGCTAAAGATCTATGTGTAACCAAAGATTGTTTAGATAGGTTTTCTTTATCTTATCTTTCCGCAAACAGTCTTGTAAAATCTGTACTGATCTTCTCTATCAATATATATTTTAAATTTGAAAATACTGTGTTTGTATTCATCCCCCCATTCTACAAACTATTTCTATTCTTGTAGACTCTTTCGGGACCAACAATATATTATTTTAATTTTTCTTTACTCTTTTGTTTGTATTAATGTATTATATTATTAAATATATTATATTATTAAATATTTATTTTAATTTTTTTTATAAAATATTGTCATCGACTAACTTTTGAAGATGCATTTTTTAGCAATTTTAAATGTTTATCAGCAACTTTTTGTCAWACATGATTGTTCATCAACTAACTTATTAGCTACCAGGTAGCTTATCAATCATTAGTTATTTTACCAAACATAACATTAGTAATTAGTGAGAATTAAAATAAATAAAATTATTTAATTTATATAATATAATGAGTTCATTCTGTTATAAACTCAAATTTTTATTCAAGTTAATATAAAAGAATGAATATTCATTCCCATTTTCACTCTCATGCATTTTTATTCCCATTTCCATTTTAGTGTTTCCATCCTATCTAYTAACATCGATTTTTACTTTTCACTAATATAGACGATTTTCTATTATTAATTTTTAGGATCCTATAAATTAATCAAGCTTTATAATAATTTGATAGATTTAATTATTAATTATAAATTAWATTATTTTACTAAAAAAACAAACAATTCATTAAATAGTAAAAACTACTTATAAAGGAAATCAAGAAAATAATACAACAATTCCTTAAAGTTAATTATAAATTCAATTAATCATGTCATACTGAAAGCATGAAAAGACTTCTAGATTTATAACAATTTTATAAACAAAAACATATAAATCTGAAAATTAAGSAACCAAATTTGTAATTTTGAAAATATTAAAAAATGCCTCAAATTTKATGTAAGAAATGATGTTTGTAAGTGTATTCCAACATAGGGAAAGTTCAGTTTTTAGAAACTGAATACAAATCAAATCAAGAAACCGTTCACAACACACTACATGTTCTTYTTTATGATGAATAATATAATAATGATGAATACGAAAGTATTATTTATTATGAATCATACATTCATAGTGAATACGAATGTGGTATCTATCATTAATGTTGGTCTCGCCCAGATCTACAAGAGTTTAAAGGTAACATTTTGTTGAAGGGGGGATGAATACAAACACAACGACTTTCACTTTTTAAAATCCTTTATTGATAAACAAGATCAATACAAAATTTTACAGATTATTTGCGAAAAAGATAAAATACAGAACTTATCTAAACAATCAAAGAAACACACAAAATACAGAAAGCAAGAAAAAAAAAAGACTTGCTAAAAGATAATGTTAAGAAGTCTTGTGCTTGGGAAGAAGCGTTTCTCTTAGGTAGAGTGTTGATCTTCAAGAAGTAAGAATTCTTGGCATTAGTTTGCTTTATCTGGTTGAGTGGGTTACTAAGAAAGAAGAGTTTCTCAAATATTTATATCTGTTGCATTAAATGCAACTCAGACGGTACAAAGCATGTGACAAGCTTTTAGAGGTGAGCTTGTCCTTTGTTCCAGATATATACAGGATTTTGCTGTATATGAAAATAGTCTTTCATAAAGTAGGTAAGTACGCTTGGAGATAATAGAGTGACTCCATACAGGTACTTTACTTTGAGAGGTATGAGTTTGTCCTTTGTGTGTAAAAGGACAAGACAAAAACTAATCTTGTTCAACTAGATTCATTCGATGCTGACATTGGAATAATGTTGAGGTTTCTTCAGTATTCAATGAATCTTGAGTAGATTTCATACTTGTGTAGACAAGCTTGTTATCACTGAAAACCGCATCAAATCACGAACTTGCTTGTCTATGTCTTTAGCTTTATCTTCGATATTACTGAAGGTTCTGTGGTATGAGTTTTGTCTTCCTGAAGAATACTTGTCTCTGAGAGAATTACAATACATGTTCAATGATCACTGAACAGACTCATTGATGATCGCTGAAGTTGAATAAAGAGATAATACACTTTGTAAGATGAAAAGAATCATCATCAAATCACTGAGAGAGAGAGAGAGGGGTCCAACAATCTCCCCTTATTTGATGATGACAAAGCAACATAAAGAAAATTGTTTCGGTATTACAGTAAGAAAAATGTACTAGTAAAATACTTATCCCTTTTAATTGTTTTTGGATCTTTTTCAATGATAAGTTTATTATGAAAGTTTACTTTAATTGTAAAGAATTACAAGGAAATAATAAACTTACATAATATGAATAACTAAATACTAAGAGCATATTCACTGACTAGAAGAGTGTCAACGAATGTAAGAAATAAATAGAACTCATAAGTACATGTCCCATTTACTCTTTTCAGATATCTTTTTCAGTAAACCAATCATTTTATTGAAATATCTTACAAGAGAAAATATTACAACTGATTACCATTGTTTTGGTGGGCTTAAAACATAAAAGCTGTAATGATGGAGAGTGAATGATGATGGGACGACTAGGGGAGCAATGTTGTTAGATGCAAAGGATTTGAATGACATAAGGTTTGATAACGATGAAGCCGGTTTAGTTTTTTATTTGAAGATCTTCCTCATTAGTTATGGTAGCTTTTAAAAAAAAATATCGGTAACCAATTGAAAAAGCCGTTAGATTTATTCATTTAAAGACATTTCAATAATTTCTATTAACACAAATTATTTAGTTATAAAAAGTTGTAGGGATTTAACCATTGAAATTTGGAAAGTTGATTATATTTTGTTTCTACTTTTCCTACTAAAAATAATGATCTCTTTGTATTTAGGGAGTGGTATATTGTTGTTTAAACTTGTCGTCTTAATACTTTCAGACCTCTCTTGCTTGCCCAATGAGCAATCAATGATTCTCCTGTTTTGAAAAACCCAACACTTTTATCCTTCGTTTCTTGTCCTCAAAAAAGTTGTTCTTTGCTTCTGCTTGTTAGGATTTGAAGAATGAAATCGTTTAATCATCTTTTTTTCTTTAGGGTTGGATTACATGATATTTTGGGAATTAATTTAGTTATAAGAAAAGAACTAATTAAAGATTCTTTCCCTTTTATCCTTTGTGTTAAAAGATTCAGTTTCTATCCTTTTCAATGAGATTTTGTGACCTACATTATCAATGGAATTCATTTTCTGCAAATGGGTATTTGTTTTTCTACTGTCAGCTTGGTTGATCATCTCTATTGCTTCCTCAGGTTTGCTCCCTGTTTTCTTGTTCATTTTTCTTGCAATGTACTTTGATTTGTTCTTAATAGTCGACTTGTAACTTGTTTTTGTAAATCAATTGATGTGAAGTTGAAGGGTTATCTGGGAGTTCAAAGGTAAGAGGAGTGAATTTGGGAGGATGGTTGGTTGTAGAAGGTTGGATTAAGCCTTCTCTGTTTGATGAAATGCCTAACAGAGATATGCTTGTGAGTTCTATACACTTTGATTTGTCTTTCTATATCATTTTTGGCTACTTCCATGCACTATTTTTCTTGGATTTTCTGTACACTTTCTTTTTACCCTTCTAGCTGTAGCTTGAAAGCTAAGTTTTGGCTGAAAGAGTTGTCCCATATGGTAAAACTAGCAGGCTGATAAGTCGGATAACAATGTAAACTAACATCAACCTTTTTGGTCATTTATGTAAAATGTAAGGGGAATAACTGGAAAAACGTGAAAAGAAAGCCTTGAAGCTTAGCCATAGGCTATTTGAAATAGCTTCTCAGCTAGTTTATGGTTTACCAAATACACAGTTTTTTCAATGAGCTCACAAAAATAAGCTAGCTTATGGTTTCCAAACAAAGCCTAAATGAAAATCATACCCTTGCAAAAGTCAGAGACACCTCTCATTGTGACAAAAGCCCATGTTTCATGGGGTTCAAACAACAGAAACATCTCTCTTTACGTTTAGTTCACTTTCTTGTGTTTTCCCATAATTGTAATTGTGTGTGTATGGAATGCAGGATGGTACAGAGGTCCAATTTAGATCAGTGACATCAAAGAAGTATATGTCAGCAGAAAATGGGGGTGGTATGAAGATTACAGTTGACAGAGATGCTCCTTCTTCATGGGAAACCTTTCGGGTATATTTCCATGGTGAAAAGATTATTCATTGGTTTCTCGGTATCCCCTCCATATCATAGGTCTCATCTCATTATCATCACATAAATGAAAATGAGGTTATGTGTGAACTTAGTACCAAAATCAGATTTTCTCATCCTTGTAATTGAAGTTACACAAACCTTTGTGAGAATATGCGGAAGCCCATTAGTTTATCCTCCAAAAGGGCCCTTGATGAGAGAAGATAGGTTCCAACGTTTATTGAGGAGAAATGGTCCAATTCTAGCCGATGCATGACTCCAACACATCCCCTCCAATGAGGTTGAAAGGTACAGATTGTCACATACTGTCAAGAGGGGGCTAGCCCCCCACAAATTGTGCCATAGTGTGTCGAGTGTCTGGAGTGGTCGACCTTGACTATGATTACATGTATAGAGGAGAATATGTGGAACCCCATTAGATTACTCTCCGAAAAAGCCAGAGGTTCCAACATATATAGAGGAGAATTGGTCCAAATTTAGCCGATGTGGGACCCCAACAACTGCAATGTGCAAATTGCAAAGAGAAATCTGTAGATCAGTTAATATATCAGCAGGTGAATCTGGTTCAAACTTTTAGCCATTAGAGCTCTTCAAACTCAAACACCTTTTCTAGCGGTGAAGTGCAGTTAAAATAATAGTAAGTGTAAACAAGCAAAGATAAATTTGCACCCAATTCCGACATTTGGACTATACCCATAGTTTAATTATAATGTTTAAGTTTTGGTCAATTGTTTAAAATACCCTTCAGTTATAACAAAAAGAAGTTGCCTTGTGGACCAAATTCATTGTTACCTTGTTGAGAATTGAGATGACAACAGACAAATATGTAACTATACAAAAGGAAATTGTATTATCTATACAAAAGGAAATTGTATTATCGGAGAGCACTTAAAGCATAAGATTGTTATGGAACATCAAAAATTACCCTTTGTTTCTGCAGTTATGGAGAGTTTCTAGTTCAGAATTTCAGCTCCGGACTTTTCAAGGAAAGTTTATGACGTGTAATGTTGGAGATGGCAATGTGTCTGCAACTGCAAGCACACCGTCATCAACTGAGACATTCTACATAGAACGAAATGAGAGAAATAGAGTCCACATTAAACATAAGATCAGTGGGACCTACCTGCAGGTACTTGTCATTTTTCATACATTTCTCTTAATTCGGAAGATATAGTAACATCACTTGCCATAGGCCTTCATGGGAACAACCGCTTTACTCTTTGGGCCTCTTTGGCTTGATAGAATGTATTTGAGGGATTTGGATTTCGTGGAAGGATTTGGAATTGGAAGAATTGTGAATCTTTGGTGTGTTTGGTTTATAGGATCTGTCATGCAATTGAATTCCATTCTTTTATAAATCTTGTTTGGTTTGTAGGATTTGATGTAATTTAAACATTATGATCATACCTATTATGCTTTGCTCCGAGAGAATTGAGAAGACGAGAAGTGGAGGTGATGGAGAGATTAGGGCAGATTTGATGAAAGAGGCTAGGTAGAGATGTGATGGAAACAATTGAATTCCATCGGATTTGGATTTGGATTTAAAATGACAGCCATCTCCAAGGGATTTCTAAATCCATTGGTTGTGAAATTTCTTTGAAATCCCAGGATTTCAAATCCAAACTTTCCTTCAAACCACACAGGATTGGAATGGAATTCAGTTTCAAATCCTACCGGATACTGCAAACCAAACGGACCATTTGGGTTAGAGGTCAGGTTTGCTTACATCCTACCCTCCCTAAACCCAACCTCCATGTGGGATTGTATTTGGTTTTTGTAGCATCACTTGATTCATTTACTGGCTTCCTAATTTTTTTCGTTTAGGCTTCAACCTTGAATGAAATCACTGCAGACTACCAAGGGATTCCAGGGTGGGATGATAATGTAGCTACATTTGAGATGACAATTGTATCTAATGTAATCCATGGAGATTACCAGCTTGCCAATGGACTTGGACATGATAAGGCCAAAAAAGTTCTTATGGTAACCTAATTTTCAATTTTTTTTTTGATTAACCTGGATATCCAACCCGCTATGCGAGCTGACTAATCTCAGGGCGACCACCCGCTTCGCGGGTAGCCCGGAGTCACCGCATTTAACCCTCTGTGGCCACAAGGGGATTTTTATTCCTCCTTGGATTCGAACCTGGGACCTTCAAACACTTTTGACCTTTGGAGCCCAAGCTCAAACCAATCAGACAGCCATCCTTCCTCTTTCAGTAGTCAAAAACATACCAATCAAATTGTTGAAAAACAAGTCTCTCTCACACACTCCAACACACTTAAGGTGAGAGAGAGAGAGAACCAACATATTTGATTGCTTTGTTCATGAAAATTTCAGAAGCACAGAAACAGCTTTATCACCATGGAAGACTTCAAGTTTCTCTCTAAACATGGAATAAATACCGTAAGAATCCCAGTTGGATGGTGGATAGCCTTTGATCCTAATCCTCCCGCCCCATTCATTGGCGGAACCTTGAAAGCTTTAGATAATGCATTCTTGTGGGCACGGTAGGTCTACTTTCACCTTAATATCTGTTCATTGAAATCTATATTTCCATATGTTTTGGGTTCACATTCGACTTATATGGGTTGTAGGGCTTATGATATTAAGTGCATCATCGACCTACATGCAGCTCCAGGATCTCAAAATGGCATGGAACACAGTGCTAGTAGGGATGGTACAACAGGATGGCCCATGTACATCTCTCAGACGTTGTATGTAATTGATTTTCTAGCTTCAAGGTATGCTCTTTTAAAGTTATTATTCAATTTACATTTTCAAACATGCTACTAAAACTAATATGTTGCTTCTTTGCATACACCTCTCTGCCACTTGTATTTTGTTTTGCACGCCGGAGGTCTTCACAGAAACAATGTCATCCTACCCCCACCCTACCTCTGTGTGGATATACCGGGCTCATGCAGTTATTTGGTTTGGTTTTTCTTACTAAAATGCTAGATGGAATCCATTAGACCCTTTAGTTCTCAAGGTGACTTAATCAATCAAGGGAGAAGGAATAGCCATAACCATGAAATAAAGATGTAAGAAGAGATCTTATGGCTGGACCATACAGGTAGTATATAACTTCCACGGTAGCTCCCAACTTGTATGATCTTGGGTGGTCACTGGTTCAAGTCCCCTCAGAACCACCGGAGGTTTGACTGGCCGTTAACTTCATGAACCCTTGGGGGATTAGTCGAGATGTGCACAAGCTGACTCAGACACCCACATCTAAAAACAAAACAGAAAACATTAACCTGGACATGATAAATAGAAACAAAAATTTCACTTTAGCCAAGTTCATGAGACACTTGGGATTCTTTCCTCTGAATGCTCTCTATCTCTTGCTTCAAAGAAGAAAAAGGCTTGACTTTTGACTTGGTCAAACCTTTAACTTGTCAAACTCAGAACTGATATAGATATTATTACAAATCAACTCCAACATCTTTATCTTGTTTCATAAAGTGCAATATAGCCATATTCGAGATAATTTCATGAACTTGTGTAGGTTTGAAGTTGAAAAATAGTTTGTTTGACCTCAAAAGTGAAAGTGTGTTGTTACCAGATGGAATGAGTATCAAAGAACCCCAAGTCTATACTTTTCATGATAATTTAGGGCAAAATGCATCAAAATGTAATGAAATTTGCGTTAAAAACAGACTTTTTTCTTAATCAATGTAACAAAGTTTCAAAATTTCCTATTTGATGTGACAGTTAATTTCTTATTTCATATACATTTTGACCGGTAACTTGTTTATTATTTTAACATTTGATGGCGTGGATGTCTAAGTTTATTGCTCACTTTGCTGTTCCATGAACATTTTGTATACCTTAACGGTATCCATGTCATCAAGTGTTACAAGATCAACAGGTTACAGGCCAAATGGGTACAAAACAGTAAATTTTGAAACTTTGTTACATTGATTGTGGAAACATAATTCTTCGTTACATTAAATAGGAACTGAACCAAACTTTGTTACATTTTGATGCATTTTGCCAATAACTTTTAAGGCTGTAAATATGTTTTTAAGCTTGTTACTGCTGAAGCTTTACATTAATTATTATCTATTTCTGCACAGATATGCCACGCACCCAGCCTTGCTAGGGATTGAGCTTCTAAATGAACCATCTGCTGCAACAGTTCCCTTGGATGCACTAGTTTCGTATTACAAACAAGGATATCAGACTGTAAGAAAACATTCTTCAACAGCTTATGTCATAATTTGTCAAAGAATCGGCAATGCAGATCCTCTTGAACTTTATGAAGCTAACATTGGTCCTTCAAATCTAGTACTGGATTTGCATTACTACAATCTTTTCGACAATTATTTTGTTAACAAGACTGCTGCACAGAATATCCAATTTATTTTCAAGAACAGGCAACCTCAGCTACAAGCTCTGAACAATTCAAATGGGCCTCTTGTTTTTATTGGTAAGTCAACATGGGAAAGGTACCCGTCTTCTTTGCTTTTGTTGGAGTTCTATATCAGCTACACCCCTTTTCCCCTCGGTATATGTTGGACCCCCTTCTCCTCAATGACTCTTTTGAGAGTAATCTAAATAGGGTTCTGCATATCTCACATGGTACCAGAGCGAGTGTCTACCACTCTAAAGGACGACACTCTGGGGCATTTGTACCCGTCTAGCCTCCGTTTTGTCCGG